CTTGCATTGTTGGTATTCAACAAATATTTGTTGAGTGATTGAATAACCATATATTGTTATTAGAATAGAATATATTCTATTAAAAGATACACAGTATTTTGTTATATGGTTGTACCCTAATTGGTTAGGTATATCTGCTATTGAAATGCTGATAGATTGTTTTCTAGTCTTTTTGATTACAAACAATGCTTTTGTATATTATATGTTTGACTATTCTGCATCCCTTGCATTTCTGAGTCCCTAGAAATGAATTTTGAGATATGCTCGTCAACTTGCAAAAAGCCAACTGGGAATTTTGATAGGAATTGCATTGAATCTGTAAATCAGTTTGGGGAGTATTGCCATTTTAACAAAATTAAGTTTTCCAATCCATGAACACAGGGTGTCTTTTTATTTATTTAGGTCCTCTTTAATCTCTTATGAGCTTTTAGTTTATAAATCTTATACTTTCATTACATTTATTAGTAGGCATTTTATTCCCATTGATGTGATTGTGAATAGAATTGTTAATTTCATTTTCATCTTAGTGAATATCTTTGAACATAGCTTTTCCCTCCCACCCAAATGAATGAATATATCTGTCGGATTAATTCCTAAATGTGGAGCTGCTGGGTTAAACGGTGTGTATATTTTGGATAATATTTTGATATATGTTACAAATTGGCCTCCAAAGAAGTTGCCCCAACTCCTATCAACAGATTTTAAGAGTGACTTTAATAAGCTATTTTTTGTATTATGTATTATGAAATTTTGAACCTTACCAATCTTGTGAGAGAAAAATGATACCTTCTTTAATTACATTCACCCAGTTACAAATATGGTTGTATTTTTTGCATGTGGACTATCTTTTTAAGGCCTTTGCCCAGTTTTTCTATTTGCAAATAACTTGTTAATATTCATATATCAATAGATTTGGATTTGGGGGGGTTAAACTAATTTTTAAGATGGCATAATTTAGAGTCATTGGAAGTGACTATTTCAACTTGATGAGACAGAGAGCTGGATTTGTAGCCATAGCTCCATAAGACTCTACTTGTCTGCACTTGTGTACTTTTGATGGCTTTGGAGTCTGGCCAGTCAGGTTACAGGCAATAAAACAAGCATTTACTGAATGTCTAATTGGTGTTAGAAACCCTATTATAGTAATGAATGGAGACTGTTCTGTCTTCCTGGGTGCTCACAGTCTGGTGCAGAAAACTGAGATCCTGCTGGAGGGAGGGATTCATTTGGCCCATTTTTAACAGACACATGTTCAAAAGTGTCAACAGTTTTTGACACTTTGGCTTGGTTTTGAAGGCTGGTTCTGTTAGGTTGACAAATGAAGTGGGGGCAGTTCAGGCAGATGATAAATCAGGAGCAAAGGCCAGAAGAAAGTTTTGCAAGTTTCAGGAGTGCTGCGGGGTTGGTAGGTATTGGAGTATACTTCTGAGTGGTGGAACTGGTTAGAAGTAGGGTCAGGAATGTAGGTTGAAGGTAGGTTGACTTTTCTACTTGAATGTCATGCTAAAGAGTTTAATTTTTGTATTTTTGACTCTGGAGGACATCAGTGTTGTTGTTTATTTATTTTTAAGATTATTTGAGAGAGAGAGGAAGAGAGAGCAGGAGTGGGGAGGAGGGGCAGGGGGAGAGGGAGAAGCAGACTCCCTGCTCAACAGGGAACCTGAGGTGGAGCTCGATCCCAGGATCCCGAGATTATGACCTGAGCTGAAGGCAAATGCTTAACCAATTGAGCAATCCAGCACCCCATGGACATCAGTGTTTTTGAGGTATGGGATTTTAATGTGGAGGCCCAGTCAATTAGTAATGGTGACAATCATGGTAAAATTTCTAAGAGTTATTTAAATATTACCTTCCTTAGCTCCACAAATTCTGTGTGAGGGTCTGTTAATAATGATTTTTACAGATTTGAAACTCAGTTTTCTTAATAGTATACCTAGAACATTAAACGATTATTTTTACATTGGTATAAAAAAAAAGAAAAATCATTTTTCCCCTTTCTATTGTGTATTGGATTCTTGGGTTTTATTTAGATGAGGAGTCATGTACTCAAATGCCTCAAGTTCTGGATGGCCCTATAAATGACAGTGGTTGCCCAGTGAAAAGGGTTCACTTTACCTGTGTGTGTGGGGACTGGTTGGAGCTCAGGTGTTGTGTCAAGGGGGCATTAACTCAGTCTTTTTTTTTTTAAAGATTTTATTTATTTATTCATGAGAGACAGAGAGAGAGAGAGAGAGAAGCAGGCTCCCAAGGAGCAGGGAGCCCGATGCGGGACTCGATTCCAGGACCCTGGGATCATGACCTGAGCCGAAGGCAGACGCTTAACCATCTGAGCCACTCAGGCGCCCGCATTAACTCAGTCTTATTAGAAGCTGGACCTAAGTGTTGCTAGAGCTTCTGATTTTTATCTGAATTCTCCCGGTATCCAAATTTTGGCTCAAAAATTTTAAAACACTGGGCAGGCCTAACAAAACATCTGGCTTGGATCACCAATCTGCCTTTATTGTAGGCGTTTATTCTAGCATTCGAGACCAGCCAAGATACTTAGGTAATTTAAGATTAAATCTCAATGCTATATAGTCTTCATCCTCTAGGGAAGAGACAGTCAAGACTCTTAAAAGAATTGCCATTCTGAGGATTAGAAGTATAATCACTTTTCATTAGTTTAGATGCTATCATTTAGGATCACATGAAGGAGGAAGATACTGTTTATATGATGTGGGAGAGTCATGAGTATGGAGCAGAAGGCAGATGATAGCTGGGTTTTTTGGGGGGAGGGGAGATTTTAGAACTTCTGATAAGTAAATTTGTTTGCCAAAATCAAAGACGTTAGAGAGTTTTAAGAATTTTAGATTTTAAAGCTGTCCAGAGAAAGACAAATACCGTATAATTTCACTCATATGTGGAATTTAAGAAACAAAACAGATGAACATAGCGGAAGGAAGGAAAAATAAAATGAGATAAAAACAGAGAGGCAAACCATAAAAGAGACTCAGCTATAGGGAACAAACTGAGGGTTGCTAGAGAGGAGGTGGGTTGGGGGGTTGGGGTAACTGGGTGATGGGCATTACAGAGGGAACTTGATGTAATGAGCAATGGGTGTTTCATGGAACTGATGAATCACCAAATTCTACCCCTGAAACTAATAATACACTACATGTTAACTAACTTGAATTTAAATAAAAATAAAAAAATAAAGATGTCCAGAGAAATCAATCTTGATATGAAAGATATTTATTTTCAGAAGACAACTTACTTCTAGAAAAAATACAAAGCAAGATTTGAAAACTTAAAAGTCTATTTTGTATCCACTTTTTATGACTCAAAAAGGCCAAAATGCTATTTCAGGTTATTCAGGATCCTTCTTTGTAGAAGTAGGAGACCGAATAAAACATGATTCTGTGAGGTCTGTGCATACCTATGTGTCTTAATATTGAAATGAACAACTTGTTTTTAGGCAAACAGATGGATTGAATTTAATTTTTAATAGCATATATGCTATGAATTATCAGAAGGTAATATGAATTAAAATAGCATATCAATTTCTTCACTTTTGGTTTGGTGGGAGAAATCAGTATTGTTTAGATCAAATAAAATACAACAGGTAAGCCTGTGCTATGTAGTAACCTAATACCTTTAGATACTAAGAATTATTATCAAAGTGATTATATTTTTGCCTCTATATTCTTTCTTCTATTATTGGGGAGGTTGGGAAAATGTTTTAAGATAAACAAAAAAATGTATATGCAAATATTTTATTTATTTACTTAATTTATCTTTCATAAAGCACCACATCATATTCCCTATACAAATCAACACTAAATAAATAAAAATTCATTTTAGAGCCTTGAACAATTAGAACACATTTTTTTCATTTTTGGAATGAAACATTTCATCATTATTTCATCCATCCATAATGGAAAATGACAAACTCACCAGCCTACTTGTGCAAATTTCCTGATTCATCATCTTAATGTAATAGTCCTGGAGGTGGTGGCAGCCTTAAGTAAAACTGCCATTTATGTAGAGAAAGATTATTATTGTAGGTTGCTTGGATTATTATGCTTTGGCAAAAGGATACAAAAAGAAAATGCTTTGTCAACATGAAGCTAAAGGAACTACAATGACCAGCATGGAACATAAACAGACTTACAAATTTATCTTTACCAATTATTTTATACATGTTTTCAAATTCTGTCTTTCAACAACACTTTTTCCTGATTATAAAAGCAAATCATACTTATTGAAAAGATTTTGAAAATACTAAACACCAACCAAACAAAAAGCAAAAATAATCATCCATAATCTCATCGTCTAGAGATGATAACTGTGTAAGGAAAGTAGTGGATGGACTCTGAAGTCAGACACATCTTGGATTTGAGTCGTCTTTTCTACTTACTATTTGTCTTTAAAAGTTAGTTACTTGACTTTTCTATGTTTCAGCTTTTTCATCTATAAATTGGGGATAACAATAGAATTTACCTTATAGGATTGTTGTGAGGTAATACATTGAAAGTCTTTAGTAGACCTTTGCACATGGTAAATATTGAATCTACTACTTACTGTTTTTTTGTTAGTCTTTTTTCCAAGCATATATTTTTATTTATAGTTAAGGACATGTATACTTTTTCCCCATATAACATTGTATCATATGCATTTTCTTGTGTAATTTCCAGTTGATAAACAGCCTTATCCTAAATCATTGACCACATTACCAGTTGTTTCTTTAGGCTAAATTTCTAGATATCCTAAACCAACTGATGGCAGCCCGCTTAGCTTACAGGAATATTCTAGCAGGAAATGATAGATTCTGGAGTTTTAATTTCCAACCATGACCTGATGGGGAATATCATGTGCCTCTTTGGTGTGATCATTAAGCTCTGTGGGAGTTCAGTGAGTAGTGAGGAAATATATAAGATGCCGATGAGGGAGGGCTCTGGAGCCTGTCAGACCACATTTGAATCTTGGTTTTGTGACTTGGGCAATATTTTTAACTTCTCTAGGTCCCTCCTGTCCAGTGAGGTGTAAAAATAATATCTATTTCATAGGGTGGTGAAGATGAACTGATTTGATATCAAATTCTGACATATGGTAAGCACTTAATGAAATTAGCTCTTTATTGTTTGTTATGTTCAACACTTAAAGTTTGTTTTTATAATTAAATGTGAGAGAATGGCAGTGGTTTTCACAAGTAATGTGAGAATGTGAATTGTAAGACATAAGATAGGGCAATACAAATATTTTTAGTGTAAAATGTTGTTATTTTTCCATTTCAAATGTAACAAATAATTATCTGTTCTAAATTTATTATCCAGAAGATAACATAGGAAGAGGCATTTGATTTAATAAACCTTATGAGGAAATTTTAATAATTTTTTCAGTGATTCAAAAATGGAATGTGATTTTTATCCAAATTATTCTTGTTAAAAGATGAATATGCTTTATGTTATTTTTTTTGCATCTTTTTTTTCAGAGTGCATCTTTCAACTAGGATCTTTTTTTATTTTTTATTTTTTTATTAGTTTCAGAGGTAGAATTTAGTGATTTATCAGTTGCATGTAACACCCAGTGCTCATTACATCAAGTGCCCTCCTTAATGCCCATCTCCCAATTATTCCTTCCCCCCACCCACCTTCCATCCAGCAACCTTCAGTCCTTCAGTTTGTTTCCTAGAGTTCCGCATCTCTTATGGTTTGCCTCCCTCTCAATTTTCATCTTATTTTTCCTTCCCTTCCCCTATGTTCATCTATTTTGTTTCTCAAATTCCACATATGAGTGAAATCATGTGGTATTTGTCTTTCTCTGACTGACTTATTTCACTTAGCATAATACCCTCTAGTTCCATCGGCATCATTGCAAATGGCAAGATTTCATTCTTTTTGATGGCTGAGTAATATTCCATTGTGTATATATACCATCTCTTCTTTATCCATTCATCTGTTAATGGACATCTGGGCTCTTTCCATAGTTTGGCTTTTGTGGACATTGCTGCTATAAACATTGGGGTGCATGTGTCCCTTCATATCACTATTTTGGTATCCTTTGGATAAATACATAGTAGTGTAATTGCTGGGTCATAGGGTAGCTCTGTTTTTAACCTCCATACTGTTTTCTAGATTGGCTGCATCAGAGTCCATTCCCATCAAGAGTGTAAGAGGATTCCCCTTTTTCCACATCCTCGCCAACATCTGTTGTTTCCAGAGTTGTTAATTTTAGCCATTCTGGCCAGTGTGAGGTGGTATCTCATTGTGGTTTTGATTTGTATTTCCTTGATGCAGAGTGATGTTGGGCATTTTTTCATGTGTCTGTTAGCCATTTGTTTGTCTTCTTTGGAGAAATACCTGTTCATGTCTTTGCCCATTTCTTGATGGGTTTTTTATTTTTTGTGTGTTGAGTTTCTTAAGTTCTTTATAGATTTTGGATACTAGCCCTTTATCTCATAAGACATTTGCAAATGTCTTCTCCCATTACATAGGCTGCCTTTTAGTTTTGTTCACTGTTTCCTTGCTATGTTGGTGCTTTTTAAAGTTAAATTTAAGCAGAACCCCTGTAAATAATAATACTAGCATTTATAAAGTGCTTGGCATATACTAAACAATGGACTTGGTATTTTACTTATATTTACTCCTGTGATGCTTACAGTGTCCTATGAGTTAGGTTCTTTTATTGTCTCCATTTATAGAAGAAACTGAGGCACAAAGAGGTTAAATCACTTGCTGAAGGTTATACAACTAATGAGATAATTCTGTCCTATGTAATCTTGCCCCAAAGACCATGCTTTTAACCATTCCACTATGTTACTTAACATTCCAGGACAAAAAGAGTCATAATTGATTAAATACAATACCGATATGTTTACAGTGAGTTTTTAACCCAAGAATTTGATTAATAATAAATTCAAGAGTAAGTTTTTTGAAATTCAACTATTTTGTGGAAATGCATTTATGAAAATTTCAATTAATCTTTTTTTCCCTTTCAGTTTTTCAGTTATGGAACAAAAATACTGTATCAAAACAATGAAGCTTTTTGGTCTAAATTCTTCCTACCCCTTCAAAAAGCCATGCTGCCGCCTAATAGTTTTCAAGGAAAAGTGGCGTTTCTCACTGGGGGAGGTACTGGCCTTGGTAAAGGAATGACAGCTCTTCTGTCCAGCCTAGGTGCTCAGTGTGTGATCGCCAGCTGGTAAGTCACACTCAGCGAGTTGCCTGGCAAGAGTCTATTATAAAACAATTCTGTGCCATGATTTTGAAAACACTCTTTGCCAGAGTCTTTTGTTTTTCATCTTAATTTCCTATGAAATATCCTTTAGATTATTTAAATAAATTTCCTTGGAAAAATCAGTTACAATTTGTAATGATAGAAATACAGATGGACCGTGATTTACATTGATTCAATTTAGGATTTTTCGACTTTACGGTGGTGTGAAAGTGATACATACATTCAGTAGAAACTGTACTTGAAATTTTGAATTTGGAACTTTTCCCAGGCTAATAATATGTGGTAAGATGCTCTTTCATGATGCTGGCATTGAATCGCAGCTTCCAGTCAGCCACTCAATCATGAGGGTAAACAACCGATAACACAACTGTTTTGTACCCAGACAACCCTTCTGTTTTTCACTTTCAGTACAGTATTCAACAAATTTACATGAGATATTCAACATTTTATTATAAAACAGGCTTTGTGTCAGATGATTTTGCCCAACTGTAGGCTAATTTAAGGTAGGCCAGGTTAAGCTATGATGTTCAGTAGCTTAGGTGTATTAAAATGCATTTTCACATGATGGTATTTTAAACTTATGATGGGTTTACCAGGGATGTAACCCCGTTGTCATGTTGAGGAATATCAGTAATGATTGATTGTGGAACTGATGATGTATACATTTCCCAAATTCAGTGATAAAATTTTTTTTCTTGTACCTGAAGCTTAAGGTTAAAGTGCTGTGTTGAGGCTGCTCAGTAGGAGTGATTATAGTTCAAAGGATAGTTAGCCTTGTACTAGGATAATGGATATAATCCTTCCATTTTCTGTAAGATGGGCTGATGTTTCAAAACATCTCTTGTAATAAATGTAGGAAGGATAAGGCCATGTAGATGGAATTTCTTACTTGGGCATATCCTGGGACCCTATAACTATGTAAGTCTAGAACTTTAGAGACTGGTCAAAAAAATCTACACCTTCTTCCTATTTGGAATAGTGTAAAAGTTTTAGATAAGCTGAATAAGAATCTGAATGACAAGTCACTATGTAATTTACAAAGGGCCAAAGGAATTTCTTTCAGATGTTTCCTTTAATGCAAATTGGCCAGAACATTTTTTTAAATATTATGATGTTTTTACAGATATTAAAATATTATTTTCTTTGTAACACTACATAATTTATGTTTATGGTTTATTTTTCACATTTATCTCAAGAGTATAAAACAATGCATATAGTGCTTTTTTATCCTTAAATTCAGTCTAAAATCTAACAAACTTTATACATATCAGGTTTTATATAATATTAGTTCACCTTGTGTTTTCTTTCTAAAGGAGGCTCGGGCAGGGGAACAGAAATTATTGTAATTAAGGAAATAATTTTATTTATTTTATTTTTCATGTTTCAAGTTTTTATTTAAATTCTAGTTAGTTAACATGTAGTGTAATATTGGTTTCAGGAGTAGAATTTAGTGATTCATCACTTACATGTAACACCCAGTGCTCATCACAAGTGCCCTCTTTAATACCCATCATGCATCTAGTCCATCCCTCACCCACCTCCCTCCATCAACCTTCAGTTTGTTCTCTATAGTTGAGAGTCTCTTATGGTTTGCCCCCCCTCTCTTTTTTTTTCCTTCCCCTATATTCATCTGTTTTGTTGCTTAAATTCCACATGAGTGAAATCATATGGTATTTGTCTTTCTTTGACTTATTTCTCTTAGCATAATACTCTTAGTTCCATCCACATTGTTGCAAATGGCAAGATTTTATTCTTTTTGATGGTTGAGTAATATTCCATTATATATATGTGTATATATATATACACACACACATACATACATACATACCATATTTTCTTTATCCATTCATCAGTTGACAGACATTTGGGCTCTTTCTATAATTTGGCTATTGTTGATAATGCTGCTATAAACAACAGGGTGCATGTACCCCTTTGAATCAGTATTTTTGTATTAAGGAAATAACTTTAAATCTGTGTGTAGATATAAAACAACTAGTCTAAAAGTAAATAATTCAATAATTGAGTATTAGATATATAAAAATTGTACAAATTTAACTTTTAGAAAGTGAATTCATTCAAACTGATTTGTTTGTAGATATAGCCTTTGTATTTTGTCAAGATTGCATCTGTTTAAGCTATAGATTCTCTTTGTTTTTTAACGTATGGAATTAAAAAGAAAAAAATATGAAGTCATTTCAGAACTCATGCAAAGTACTGTGTGTTTATTTCTAGGAAGATTGATGTTTTAAAAGCGACTGCAGAACAAATTTCTTCTCAAACTGGAAATAAGGTACATTAAAAAGAGTTATTTAAGGGCGCCTGGGTGGCTCAGTTGGTTAAGCGACTGCCTTCGGCTCAGGTCATGATTCTGGAGTCCTGGGATCGAGTCCCGCATCGGGCTCCCTGCTCAGCAGGGAGTCTGCTTCTCCCTCTGACCCTCTTCCCTCTCGTGCTCTCTATCTCTCATTCTCTCTCTCTCAAATAAATAAATAAAAAAAATCTTTAAAAAAATAAAATAAAAAAATAAAAAACAGACATAAAAAAAAAGAGTTATTTAATTCAGATTTAGGAATTAAAGCATGCTTAAATAACTTATTCATGTTTTTGGTTTAAGAAGCTTGAAAAATTTAGGATTCCTTTTTCTCTCTGATATTTTTCAGGTTCATGCAATTCAGTGTGATGTGAGGAATCCCGAAATGGTGCAAAACACTGTGTCGGAATTGATCAAAGTTGCAGGACATCCTGATGTAAGTGTAATGGTGATGAGGCCAAAGTATGAGGTGTTTGATGTTGATGCCACCCACCAAAATGCGCTAAGGATGCACTAAGGAAATAAAATATTGATGTGAGCAAGTGCTGTGTTGAGAAGCATGTATTTTTTTGTCCTTAGGAAAGAGCCAGCTTTGCTTAGAGCAGGGAACAGATTAGGTGAACTGCTACACCATTGCCTTTCGGAAATACTTTAAAAATGCATTTACAGTCATAGAGAACAAACTTGATTTCACTTTATTTAATAAGATTATGAAATAAGAAGAGCAGTTATTCAAGAGCACAATACCTAGTTTAAGTGATGCATGCTCTTTGCTTTTCCTAATAACTTTTGATTATCTCTATCAGTAGAGGAGAATGATACAAGTAAAGAAATCTATAAGATACTCCAAATTTTTCCTTTTAAGACCTGAGATGTGCATGTGTATTTTGCTGTTTTTTGGTTCACATATTGGAAAGAAGCAATTTCCTCCAGTAGTCTCAAAGAGAGCACTGTTCTAAATTAAAGATACTTTCAGACAGACCAAGAATACTGAATCTGCTAATAGAACTAGGTAGAATCTTTATTGATAGTGAAGAAACATGTTTATCAACCAAGAGTTTCATTGGGTAAATTAAGCCAAACTGTCACCAGAAATTAAAAGACATTTTGAGATTCCTTGAAATACAGTATAGACAAATGGTAGATATGCTTAATCTGTATTTGTTTTCTTAATGATAGATTCTACCCTAATTTTGAGACAGGGATTAGGATTCTGAGATTTGGTAAATAACACAGGAGATTTTCACAGGCTCAAAAAAAGTAAAACCAAACCAAATCTCATGGTATTATTTTATAGCAGACTATCAACTTTAGCTTTATTGTATTATTTGGGTTAATAAGTTTCAGAAGTAAAAACTCTTCAGGGAAAATGTTCTTCCTTATCTAAAAAATTCTATTATTTGCCTTACTCATTTATTAGATTGTGATAAACAATGCAGCAGGGAATTTTATTTCTCCCACTGAAAGGCTCTCTCCTAATGCTTGGAAGACCATAACTGACATAGTTCTAAATGGTACTGCCTATGTGACACTAGAAATTGGAAAGCAACTAATTAAAGCACAGAAAGGTATGTTTATTAATTTTTCATATATTTATCGGGTCCACACTGCACACAGGTTCTATGATAAGCCCTGGAATATTTTCAAAAGTCAATAGGACAGTGTCAATACCTGTACAACTTGTAGTCTAATGGAGAAGAAAGATACTAAAATAATTACCACATGCTATGATATGAGCTATAATAAATACATATTTTGTGTGTATTGGAAACCCTGAGACAGGAATGACTAACTCTCCCTAGGGATGATTATCAGGTTGAGGAACAAGGTACAACTTGGGCTGAATTTTCAAAGATCTAGATGTGGAGAAGTGGGGGTGGAAGGAAGGTGGGAGGTAAATGTAAATGTCCATGGAAAGAGGCCTGATGGAGGAGAAAAATGAGGTTTAGGGATTGATGACAAATGTGATGTGGTTAGAGATGAGGAGGGAGAATGGTGGGAAATGACTATTTGGAGGTGGGTTGGGTGTAATTAGGAAAGTTCCCAGTACCAAAATAGAAAATTTGATTTTAATTCTGAAGGAAATGGGGAGTTATTTCCTTATGGATTTCTCTTGAAGGTGTTTCATGAAGAATGTGACTTGATTGGAAAGGATACTGGCAACAGTGTGGAGGATGGAAAAGATTAGGGAAGCCATTCCGAAGGGTTTGACTTTTCTCTTGGCATGTGGCTGCGTGACATGCGGGATAAATTAGGAGACATTTAGCAGACAAAATCAACAGGCCTTACTGATTAGGTGAGAGAGTTTGTGCTGAGTGAATCGTTGGGATGATGATGACATCAGTGTGGTTGAGAACACTGGGGAGAATAGATCTAGAGGGAAATTCCTAGAACATTTTTGTTTAGTACTATGTATAAACCTTATAAAAGTTGATGCAATATAAATAGTAAATATATGTGTAATATATGTATGTATATACTTATATGTCTAGAATCAGTGTATACATGTTCATTTAAGGGACACTTACTGATGACTTTTGTGTAGCAGGTCTTGTATGCCCAAATGACGGAGATGGACAAAACTCTTTCCCTGAACAAGGGGAATGGGTTGGTTTGGGACTTGAAAGTTAGGGGTATTTCTCAGGGTGGAGAGTATTCTGGGCAACGAAAAGGAAGAAGAATCCTTGTGTTCCTTGAAGGATGTCCTTTGGGTCTTGAGGGAAGAGAAGGCATGGAGCTGGCCAGTTTCCTTCCTCTGGTCAGAAGTCTTTGCCTCATTAGATTCAATTTCTTCTTCTTTTTTTAAAATTTTTTTAAAAAGATCTTATTTATTTATTAGAGAGAGAGAGAGCACAAGCAGGGGGAGTAGCAGGCAGAGGGAGAGGGAGAAGCAGGCTCCCCACTGAGCAAGGAGCCTGATGCGGGGCTCAATCCCAGGACCCTGGGATCATGACCTGAGCTGAAGGCAGACACTTAGCCAACTGAGCCACCCAGGTGCCCCATCAATTTCTTCTTCTTTACTGTGTGGATAATTTTCAAGCCAGCTGGAGAAAGGATGTAGGAACAGGCAGAAGGTTACTAGAGAGGTGCTAGCTGTTTCTGTGCATGTATAACCTCCATCCTTTCTCCATGCACTCATTGAAATCGAATCCCCACGTCCCTCATTCCCACTACAGCAAAGTGAATTATCAGTTCCATTTGGAGTTTCCATGATTTTTGTTTGTTTGTTTTTGATTTTGTGGGTGTTTTTTTTTTTTTTTTTTTTTGGTGGCTTTTTTTTCCCCCCAGAAGAGATGGATGATTGGGAAGGGAGACAGAGAAGAATGGGCTGCCTCTTCTCCCTCTCTTTCTCTGTCCAAGGATCCTTGACCTCTGTGTTTCTTCTCTCTCCTTTTGACTCTGTCTAATTTTCTCTCTCCTTATCTCTTACTCATTTCTGTATTTCTTTCTCTGTCTCTGTCAGTTCTTCACTCTTGGTTCCCTATTTTGCTCGGTCTCTCTCCTCTTTGTGTTTCTCTGCCTCATTGTCTCTTTTATTCCTTCGCTGACTCTTGATTTCTGTCTGACTCTCCCTTCGTTTCTCATTATTGTCTTTCATTTTAACACACTGTGATCTATTTTTATTCACCACATTGGATTAAAATTCTATGGACTTCATTAAAAATATATTAGCTAAGACTTTTTAAAAGATGGAAGCCAGTTTTTATTCTTCCAAGATTCCTGTCAGTTATTGATGCCATAACCTGACAGAGTTTGAAGGACTCGTACCACTAGGCTCTGGAGAGTACAATGCACAGGGTCTGACCTGGTACTAGAGCAACAGTTAAGGAACTCAGGTGTTAATGATCTCTGAAGGATGTCAAAGAGGAAGTCAGTTCAGGGGGTAGGCAATCTATGATAATCTGTGGTCAGAAGTGTGTTTGCTGGTCTGGAATCTAAGAAGTCAGTCAAGGTAAGATATCCAGGGAAGTCAGACTAGAGAAGATAAGGGTGCCAACAACTGAAAGATAGACATTTGCTTGCAGGAATTGTCGATGACATACACTCGGAGAGTGGATAGCAGATGACGGAGGGTCAAGAGAGCAGTGGCCATAGCTAGAGAAGCTAAGAATTAGAAGGACATTATTAAACTATGTTTATAAGTAGCATTGATGCAAAATTAGTAATTATGAACAAATGAAAGATTTAGGAAACTCCTAAAGACATTAGCCCAATGTGCTCTTATAACCACAAAGGTCAGTAAATACGTGACTGATCCTTATTGAGAAGGATATTGAAAATATTATGCTGAGGTCCATTCATCTCTAGGATATCATGTATCAGTATAAAAATTAGTGAACAGTATGGAAAAGAATACCTAATTTTATTAGAGAATGAGAGAATTTGCAATGAGAGGAGACTACAAGAGAGACTAATACGGTGTTTTATTTAAATCTAGTCACAAAGGATAGGTTAAATATTAAATTTTTCTATCAAACCCTGGATCATTAGAAACAAGAGATACCTCTTGAAACTCACAAGAGGTGATTTTAGGACATGTAAGAAGTATTTTTTAAAAAGATTTATTTATTTTTTTAGAGAAAGAGAGAGTGTGGGTGGGGTGGGACAGGGGAGAAGGAGGGAGAGAATCTCAAGCTGACTCCCTGCCAAGCATGGAGCATGACTTAGGGCTCGATCCCGAGATCACGGTCCAAGCCAATATCAAGAGTTGGATGCCTAACTGACTGAGCCACTCAGGTGCCCCAGGACAGATAAGAAATACTTTCTTGAGGTAGCACTAATAATACTTTATACTACTGTGGTACTTTTTAATTTACAAAATACTTTCATATTATAGTATACAAACAGTATGAAATCAAGATTATTACAAGCTGATTAAAGAAAAGAGTAAATCAATGAATAACATAACTTGCATGTATTAATTTTAGTTTGCTAAAATTGAGATACAATTTATATAGTGAGATCCACAGATTTTATATGTTCAAATTGAACTTTTGATAAACTTATACACTTAGGTAACCATTGCCCCAACCAAGACATAGAACATTTCCACTGCCACCAAAGGTTCCCTCTTGCTATCTTCTACTTACTCCTCACTATATATATATAGTATACTTTTTTTTTTTGAGAGAGAGAGCGAGCAAGCCTGAGGGAGGGGAGGGGCGAGGGAGAGGGAGAGAGAGAATCCTAAGCCGACTCTGTGCTGAGTGTAGAGCCAACAATCTCATGACCTTGAGACCATGACCTGAGGCAAAAATCAATAGTCGGACACTTAACCAACTGAGCTACCCAGGCACCCCCACTATCTTAGTTTTTAATCCATTTTTATTGGGTTGTTTTTTTATTATTGATTTTTAGAAATTCTTTGTTTAATCTGGACTGAATCCTTTGTCAGATATAGTATGTATTTAGAATATTTTCTCCCAATCTGCTGCTTCTCTTTTCATTTCCTTCTCACTATCTTTTGGTGATAGTGCAGAAGAAACTGCATTTTGACAAATCCACCAAACTGTTTTCCAAATTGGCTCTAGGAAGTTGCATTCCCAACAGCAATTTATAAGATGCATTTGCGCCACATTCTGGCCCACACCAGATCGGTTCTGTTACATTTTAGCCTTCCTCAGTTTGTGTAGTGGTCCCTCGTTTGTGATATTAACTTATATTTCTCTAGTAACTAATGAAGTTGAGCATCTTTTCATGTGATTATTCATCAGTTGTATAAAGTCTTTGAAGTGTCTGTTCTAATCTTTTGTCCGTTTTCTTATTAGGTTGTTTGTCTTCTTGGTGTTGAATTGAAAATTTATTTAACATATTCTGAATATAAATCTTTTATCAGATGTATGTTTTGCAAATATCTTTTCTCAGTCTGTGATTTGTCTTTTCATGTTCTTAACAATGTCTTCTGAAGATAAAACATTCTTAATTTTGGTGTTCAACTTAATGAAATTTTTCTTTTATGACTCATGCTTTTTGAGTCCTAACTAAGAGATCTTTCCTTAATCCAAGGTAACAATTAATTTCTCTATTGTTTTCTTCTAGAACTTTTATAGTTTTCACTGTTACATTTAGGTTATCCATTTTGATTTAATGTTTGCATTTGGAATGAGATAGCAGTCAAGGTGAATTTTTGGCATACATCTGTCCATCCTTTTCTCAGTGAAATACTTTGGTCCTATTGTGGAAAATCAGTTGATGATATAAATGTAGGTCAATTTCTGAGCTCTCTGTTCTGTTCAACTGATATATCTATCATTATTGGATTACCTAGCTTTATAATACATACATATATCATATATAGATTACTTTAGCTTTATATTAACTTGACATCTGATATTATGAGTCCTCCAACTATTCTTTTTTTTCAAAATTGCTTTCATTGTTGTGTTCTTAGCATTTTCATATAAATTTAGAATTCAGTAATTTTTACAAAAGAGTGTACTGAAATTTTGACCAAGGTTGTGGTAAATCTATAGATTATATTGGGGAGAAGTGACATTTTGACAATAACATCTTCCAGTCCATCAGCATGCAGTGTCTTTCCATTTGTTTAGGTCTTTAATTTCTGTCA